CCGGGCGGCTAAGCGGCGGGGCGAGCCTTCGACGAGCGGCGCGCTCTTGAGCACGGAGGCGACGCCGAGGATGGCGTCGTGCTCGGCGGCGTGCGCCGAGTCGAAGTCGGGCTCCTCCGCCTCGGTGCGGAAGTGCACCTTGACGGCGTCGAGGACGGACGCGAGGTCGGTGGGCTGCAGCCCGGCGGCGAGCTTGGGGAGGGAGGAGCCGAGGCCGGCGTGCTGCCCCTCGATGACGCCGGCCTGCGTCGCAGCGGGCGGTGGAGTGGGGAGGGGGTTAGGTGCCGGGAGGGAGTTGCGCGAGGGGAGGTGAGACGCGGTCTGGGCGAGGCTGGGGAGGGGAAGCGAGGGGCCGGGGCGGGCGAGCCTCGACGGTCGCCTTGACGCGGCCCGCCTCCCGCGCCTCGTGCGCCTGCACCGCCTTCACGAACAACGACACAAGCGAGGCGTCGAGCTTGCCTACGGCCGCCGCGGGGACAGGGGTGGGTGTTGTCCAAGGGCGGGGCCGGGGGCGGCGGGGCGGCGGGGCGGCGGGGCGAGCCTTCGACGAGCGGCGCGCTCTTGAGCACGGAGGCGACGCCGAGGATGGCGTCGTGCTCGGCGGCGTGCGCCGAGTCGAAGTCGGGCTCCTCCGCCTCGGTGCGGAAGTGCACCTTGACGGCGTCGAGGACGGACGCGAGGTCGGTGGGCTGCAGCCCGGCGGCGAGCTTGGGGAGGGAGGAGCCGAGGCCGGCGTGCTGCCCCTCGATGACGCCGGCCTGCGTCGCAGCGGGCGGTGGAGTGGGGAGGGGGTTAGGTGCCGGGAGGGAGTTGCGCGAGGGGAGGTGAGACGCGGTCTGGGCGAGGCTGGGGAGGGGAAGCGAGGGGCCGGGGCGGGCGAGCCTCGACGGTCGCCTTGACGCGGCCCGCCTCCCGCGCCTCGTGCGCCTGCACCGCCTCGACGAACGACGACACAAGCGAGGCGTCGAGCTTGCCTACGGCCGCCGCGGGGACAGGGTGGGGTGTTGTCGAAGGGCGGGGCCGGGGGCGGCGGGGCGGGGCGGCGGGGCGGCGGGGCGGCGGGGCGGCGGGGCGGCGGGGCGGCGGGGCGGCGGGGCGGCGGGGCGGCGGGGCGAGCCTTCGACGAGCGGCGCGCTCTTGAGCACGGAGGCGACGGTGTCGTCGGAGCCATTCTCTATGCCCGATACCCTTTGAGCTGGCCGAGCTTGTTGGCCTGCGCGAAGGAAAGGACGACACGCGAGGATGGGGAGGGGAGGGTTTTGAGAGGGGCCCGAGAGGGCCGGGAGAGGTGGGGGGGGGGGCCGGGCGTTGATTCACCCCTGCACCGAGTCCAAGGCGGGTTCTTCCAAGGCCTTCTATGAAGGGCGGGAAAGGGCGGGGGTAAGGGGGGCCCGGGCGGGTCCCCC